CCTTTGCACTTCACAAATTGTGTCCAAGATTCCCTCAAAGGTGTGCACATGTGCAGCCAGCCGTGCACAATTTAAAATCTTGCCACATGCTAACTTATTAATGCTGTGCACCCGCCCGAGGAGGTGCTGGGCAGCGGCTTCCCGGAGAGAAGCTGGGTGCGAAGCGTGGTGGAGGCACTGGGGCCAGTGTGGGACACTTACCAGAGGTAAGCTCAGGCAGTGGCTCCTCCCCAAAGCAAGGTGGGGGCAGAGTGCCTCCTCATTCCCCAAGATGAGGCAGGGACAGAGGCTGGGGCTCGGGACTGGCGCTGGGGCTGGGGAGTGGAGCAGTTCCCCAACGCCATGTGCCTCCTCACTCCCCAAGGCAAGGCAAGGCAAGGTAAGGTGGGGCAGGGGCAGGGGCTGGCTCCAGTGAACTGCTCCACCAGCTTCATGGAACTGCTCTGCCGGCTCCAAGGAACTGTTCCGCTCCCCAGCCCCGATGCTATGTGCCTCCTCACTTCCCAAGGTGAGGTCGGGGCTGGGGGTGGGGGCTGGTGCAAGCTCTGGCTGCAGCTGGCAGCAGTGGCAGTTGCCCTGCCTGGAAGCTGTGCACACTGCCTAGGGGCCAGGGCCCTACTGCTGGTGAGTGTGGCAGTGTATCACACTGTCCTGGGGGAAATGGGCTGGGCTCAGCCCCATGTGGAGTGTAGCAGTCCCTTTGGGTTTCAGGCCCCTCGTACTGTTCCACATGTCATCCATGTCTCCTGGGGTCCCTGGCCCAGGCAAGGCTCCTCTCAATCCATCCCAGTCCCTTGGGGTCCCTGGCCCCAGACAAGGCTGATGACCCTCCAGTACAGTCCCAGGGTCCCTGACCCTTATAGGATTCTATGTAGGGTGCCCCCTCAGACACCTGTGGTTTCTGAAGCAGCACGCGCTGAAAGGGGGAGGTGGGACAGAAGCAGCACGCTCAAAGACCAAAGTGATGCGCTCACAGACTGCTACATCTTAGAGGGAACACTGATCATGTCCTTGAGGAAAAACCACTTGTCATGGACTCCCCTCTCTATCAGATTATGGCTTCTCAGGGCCTCAACAACTAGCCTCCTATGCTTGTGAAAGTTGGCTTTCCTAAAGTTGAAGACTTCTGCATTACTGACTGACTTGCCAGCTTAGCTGTGAGTAGAGAAAGTGATCTACTTGTGGTCACTATCTCCCAGCTTCCCTTCAATTCTCAGGTTGCTCACTAGATCCTCCCCTTTTGCCAGTACTAGGTCCAGCAGTGACTCACATCTTGTCAGTCCATAGACTTCTTGTGAAAAATAGAGCTCATCAATGCTTATGAGGAAGCACTGCAATCGATTGAATTTGGTTGAGTGCTCTTCCCATGAGATGTCAGGGTAGTTAAAGTCACCCATGACAACCATGCAACAAGAGTGTGCAGTCTAAGCCAGTTCCCTGGAGAATTTCTGGTCAAGTTCTTGCTCTTGATTAGGAGGCCTGTAGTCATGGGCAACTGGTGCCTCCTGAGTCTGGGGGGGCACCAGATCGGCGAGCCAGGTCCCCGCAGTGGCTGATCGCTGAGCCCGGACCCCTCAGTGGCAAAACTGGAAGTGGGCAGTTCTGCTGGCATTTCTGGTTTCATGGCTGGCACTTCCAGGGGGTGCACAGCCAATCTCAGGGGGTGTATGTGCACCCACGTGTACCCCCTACACATCGCCAATGTCTGCAGTAGACTCCTACTGTTATATCCCCTTCACCACATTACCACCTTATGTTAACCCAGAGGGTCTCAAGTCGCCCTCCTTTGTTGCCAATCTCCGCCTGCAGAGAAGCGTAGTGCTTCTTCACATAGAGAGCTACGCCCCCACCCTTTCTTGCAACACGAACTCTCCTGTATAGGGTATAGTCATCTATACCTGTGATCCAGTCATAGGTGGAGTCCCACCAGGTCTCTGTTATCCCCATGAGATCGTAGTCATATCTGTTTAGTAGGAAGGCCAGCTCCTCCTGTTTGCTGCCCAGGCTCCTGGCATTTGTGTATAGGCAAGTGAGCCTGCCATTGGAGGCCCGAGGCTTCCCTGCACTCCTAGAAAACCCCCGTTCCTGGAGTGAGGTAGGAGTGTGTTCCCTTGTACAGTCTGACCTACTGATTTGGTGGCTGATGCTTGGTAGGCTTGCACTGGTGGTTATCTGCCCATCACCTGGCAAACTTAGTGTAAAGCCTGGTCAAGGAAGTCAGCCATTCTGGCTGAGAAGAGCTGCCTCCCCATGTGAGTGAGGTAGAGGCTGTCCCTTTCCAATAGCTCATTGCCTCTCTCTATGAAGTGCGGGCTGTTGTCATAGAACCTGAAGCCTTCACGATGGCATCAGCACCGCAGTCTTCTATTCACTTCTTGAATTCTTCTTGGCCTCCTATGCCCGTGACCTGCAACTGGAAGGATCAAGGAGAAAACCACCTGAGCCCCCAACCCTCTGAGCCCCACTCCCAGAGCCCAGTAGTCATTCGTGACCTGTCTAGGATTGCTCCGAGCCATGTCATTTGTGCCCATGCAGATGAGGAGCATGGGGTAGTGGTCAGAGGGCTGGATAAGTTTTGGGATCCTTTTAGCAACATCCTGGATACGGGCCCCTGGGAGGCAGCAGACCTCATGGGCTAAGGGGTCAGGATGGCATATCGCTCACTCAGTCCCCCTGAAGAAGGAGCCTCCCACAACGACTACTCTAAGTTTCTTCTTTGGGGGGCATGGTTGCAGGTTGCCTCTTTTCCTCAGGTGTAGAAGCTGGAGGTTCTGTTGGCTCTTTTGGTGCTATGAGGATTTAGTACCCGTTATGAAGGTCCAGAGAAGTGGTGACCCTGGCCACCTGGTGTTACCTGGTGCAGTGTGCCTTGGGGCCGAAGACTTCATGTTATACATGTCCCAGGTAACAGTAGCATGAAGAACTACAGAGAAAGGCACATTATTTTTACAATTTTCTTGAAATATTATGAAAATGCTGTAAATTATATTTAATGTTGGGAGCAGCAGTTTGGAGTAACTTAAAGATATTTTTCAAGTACCCATTTTTCAAATCATTTGCCTAAAAGTTTTTGTTATTTAATATTAATAACAGTACTGCCGATTCTAATGCACTGGAATTTGAATTTGGCAGTATATATATACAACAAACTTCCTATGTGTTCATAATGTTCCAGTCCAGACAAATGGTTTTAATACTATTTACTAGCAGGTAGAGACTGATTAACAACCGTCATCTAGTCCATTTATTTTTTTAGGAAACAAATAGATTCTGCAGCTTCCAAAATTTTGTTTAGAAAAGGCCAAATAGATTCTAGCTCTCAAGATTAAAAAATTAGGTTATTTTTAAAAATAGAACAAGGCAGAGCAGCACCACCACCCCACAACTGTAGGGCATTCTATCTGGCCCGCGGGGCCCCTAAAAAATTTTGAAAATTAATATTTATCTGCCCCTGGCTGCCTATCATGCAGCCCTTGATGGCTTGCCAAAACTCAGTAAGTGGCCCTCCGCCCAAAATAATTGCCCACCCCTGCTGTAGGGAGTCTGAAGCAATAGATTTCATTCTTTCTTGCACAGGCTGAAGAATCAAAACCGGGAATAATGCTATTAAGATCTTTTGAGACAAAGTAGTGAACAAACAGCCTCCTATGATTCTGAGAAGCAAGAACAGCCTTGCCCCAAAACTTTTATCAAGAGAATTTAATGTCAAAAGGATCACTATTCAATGTTTCATTTCAGGCACAATGGTGCGAGTATGAATTAAGAGTAGAAATTAAGAGTTGGTACAGGAACAAAAACACAAAGGAAAAGGTAAAAGATGGAGAAAAAGAGTAAAAAGGGGGAAAGAAAAAGTCTTGGTTCTGAAGTCAAGGTTTTTTCCAATGAGTGAGGCTGCACACAAATCTAACAAAGTATAGCCTGAGATTTTCAGAAGGAGCTTAAAGGAGTTAGTTGCACCAATTCCCACTGATATTGCTATGGGAATTAAAAATAAGCCCTATTAGGCCACTTTGAAAATTTCAACCTTAGTCACTGTACATAGATCATTATCTTGTGCAAACTGCACAACGTTACCAAACCCTCTTCCATGGAATCAGGGAGGGATATTTGGTCCCATATTTATACCTCCCAAGACCCAGTTAAAAATGAAAAATTTGTTTTCCCAAAAAACAAACCAATAAAAAACTACCATTTTGCAATAACACCACAACAGACTTGATCAGACACGTAAAACATACAGCCCAGCCTGTGAAACCACTGCATCCAGCTCAGTGAGCAATCAAAAGTCCATGTCCTTGGCTCCAGACAGCCACACATCCTTGGCATTGCAGACTGACCAGGGCTCCGCACAGAACCAGAAGCATGTGGCTGCACAGAACCACATTTGGGTGGCAGTGTGGAGCTCTGGCTGGCTGGCAGCACCAGGGGCATGCAACATTGCAGAGCTGAGGGCACATGGCTGCATGGAGCCACATTCAGGCTGTGGCACAGAGGTGGTGAGCTGCCACCCATGTCAATGTCTGCACTGCTTCATGCTCCTGGCTCCATCTTTGTGCTGCTGCCCAAGCACAGCTCCATGTAGTTGCATGCTCCCGGCTCCATGTCGCTGCCCAACCAAAGCTGTACACCACTGCATGCTTCTGGCTCCTTGCTATGACATGCCCCTGGCTCTACCCTGTCTGTATGTGGCTCTATGCAGCTGCATACACCCAGACCCACACTGCCTCCCAAATGGAGGCCCATGGACCTGGCCTAGGAAGAGCTGCAGTTTGGATGTGGCCCGGGACAAGTTTCACACAAACTAGCTACACTGTTTAATATAGTAATTTTCCCAACAGTTTCACTAAACATTTTTAAATCGGCAATAACTTCAAATGTGACTGTTTAAGGGAATGTGAAGGAACCAAGTTCCTTTGGTATTGACACTTAATGATATAAACCCAAAAATATACTGTTCTGTTACCCAGTTCACTAGATTTCAAGTGATGAAGGTTACAGACCTTAATGCTGCAATCTGGACAATTTAATACTGTATCTCTAAGCCAAAGCACAGCATCTGGAGTCCACATGCCAATGTTAAGGGGAAGATCTGCTAGACAGCACTTCGTAGCCTTAAAAAAAGGGGGAAAAAAAGGTGCGCTGAATATTTACAGATTAACAGATGTATTCTTTAACAGATGCTTTATCATTCAAGTTTATACCTATGGACACTGATCAGATGAGTAAGATGCATTAGAAATTAAATACATCCCGATAGGCTCACATTCCTTCATTATAAAGGCAGCAACAGTTGGTAGCATGGAGTACTGTAACCCCTTACAACACAATTACTGCCATAGCGTTCTAGCGCACAGGATTAACTTTCGTAATACAGGTTGTGTTACACTGTACATTCCAACCCTTAGTTCTATAAATATCAGAAATTATCACAGTGTAGGATTTTAAGGCCATGTCAGACCACAAACTTACTGCAGCAGCACCCCTAAATATGCCACACTGTTCTGCATACTAACTCCTTTCAACTGGAAACCTTGCAGTCATGTCCACAGAGCAAGAGAGACTAACTGGCACTGCTGAGCGACAGTGCCAATTAGCCTACTCCTGGCACTGTGCAAGAATAGCTACAAGCTTTCTACTGAAGGTAGAGCACAAGGAATACTAATGCATGTTTGAAGGCACTGCTGCTAGCCACTGTGGTCTAGACATGGCCAAAGAGCATAAAGACTAAGATGGTGTTTCTAACATCAGCAGTGTTAAAATAGACCTCTGCACCTGGGGTGGTATTGTGATTATTTCTCTCAGGAATTGTGGTGGGATCTCTCTAAGCTCTGTTACTTTTACAGATGCAACTGTTCCTGTATCCATGAACTGCACATCAAGTGCCCGGCTGCTGTGAACGCTTGTTATCTGAAATGCGAAGGAAAAATGTGATAATAGGGGGACAAAATAAAATGCCATAGAAGTCTTAAAATACTGTTCTGTGTTTTTCTTAAAAAGCAAGAAGTCACCACATTTGAATTGCATTTTATGAAACTATTCTTGGTGACCTGAAATGTTAAAATGACAACACGATAAAGTCTCTCTTCAAATCTACTATCATATTAGTTTAAAAGATTACTTATTTGAAATTACTGCTCTTTGAATAAGCAGCTTATGGATAATGGTGACATGTATGATGTAACTGTTAAAGAACGAAATGATTCAAGATTTTAGCCAAACACCAAGAAAACAGCTGTCAGAAAGAATACTACTATTTTTTAATGTTTCTTACCTCCACACGTGCCCATTTTCCTTTACAATGGAACAAACAGACTTTGCCACAAAAAGGTAATGAGACGGAATAATCTGTTGTCTGCTGCAATAAAAACAAGGATTGCCTATAAATATACACCCACAAAATCCTGTCAAGAATCAACTACTGGAGGACTATATAGTGAGCCAAACATAGGTCTGGGAGCCAGAAACTCAGCTCCATGTCTGATGGTTTCTCTTTTTAGCCCTGGCAGAGCCATTACTGTGCCTCATTTTTCTCTTTTCTTTAGAATAGGCATACCACCTAGTTACCTGCTTCACAAATTACCTACAAAGATGTAAAAGTACTAAGAAAATTAAAAACGTAGGCTGGGCTTAAAATACATAGGATGAGCTTTTAAGCAGATCAATGGCCAATGATTATTGTTCTCTATAACAGCACATCAGCATAAACAATTGGCAAACTTATCTTCTGTAATCATTGAAAGGACATTTAAAGGCTTAAGTCTATTCCTCTGTCAAGGTTTCTTGAAGACAGTAGTGTCATAGAGGTACCCCAAGACAAAGGTACTTCGGGGGCTCACCATGTGGCATGTGTTGATATTCTCCCAAATTAGAGTTTGCTATTGGGGTGGTTGGTCTCCAATTATAGCCACTGAAAATCTGTCTTCAGTTCTATCTTTCTTTTATCTGTACTTGTATTAGTGTTCGATATAAAATTTAAATTTTGATGCATCTTTATATTTCAGCTAAGGTTGTTATTAAGGCAGTGATTAACTCGAACAGCTCATGTTCACACTTAGAAGAGTCAATGGCTGAGAATTAGCATCCGACTTGATGTACCTTTCTGTCCTCCTTGTGGATGTGCCTCTGGTTTGTGTCTGGCCAGACAATGATATATTTACATTTTAAATGAACCCTAACACCTAGCTGTCAAGCCATCACAAGAGAAAGACAGCATGTCAGAATGAATGAATCATTAATGAGTCCTCCTGTCTAGAAAGGATGCAAGAATGTAGTCTGGTAAACATGCATCTTGGTGGAGGGGAGGGAGCAGGACAGGTCAAAGTTACTGGCACAGTGTGAGTCCCCCTAAAAGTGAAGGGGTTCACTGTTACTAGCCAGACTGACAATGGTATTTAAGCTGGCTTAGAGACCATGGATTTTTTTAGTTTTCCCAGGTACAAGGGAGTGGCTGAGTCCCAAGCTGAGATGGGAATGCAAGAAGCCGACAGGCAGGGTCAGAGCCATAAGTTACATTTAGATTCCTGAAGTTAGCTAAGGACTGCATCTTTGGATTTAAGCTATAGGGTAAGAACAAGTAACTGTTCTGGCATTTTCTTTTCTTTATTTACTACTGCATCTCTGTCTGTCTCAACATATGGTTAGGGACCTATCTAAATCATGGTGAGAAAAAGGGATTTTTGAAGGCCACTTGCAGTGCAAAGAGCTGATTTTACAGTTTTTTTGCAGCAAGCCCTCCCTCCCAAGGGGGCAAAACTGAACACGGTACTCCAGATGTGGCCGCACCAGTGCTGAACACAGGGGAATAATCACTTCCCTTGACCTGGTGGCAACACTCTTACCGATGCAGCCCAGTATGCTGTTAGGTTTCTTTGCAACAAGGGCACACTGCTGGCTTATATTCAGCTTACTGTCTACTGTGACCCCCCAGGTCCTTTTCTGCAGAGCTGCTGCCCAGCCAGTCAACCCCCAACCTGTACTCGTGCGTGGGGTTGTTCCATCCTAAGTGCAGGACTTGGTAGTTGTCCTTGTTGAATCTCACGAGGTTTCTTTTGGCCCAATCCTCCAATCTGTCTAGGTCATTCTGAATCCTAGCCCTACCCTCCAGCATATCTACTATTTCCCCCAGCTTGATGCCATCTGCAAACTTGCTGAGGGTGCAATCTATGCCATCTACCAAGTCGGTGATGAACAAAATCAGCCCCAAGACTGACCCTGGGACACTCTACTTGATACCGGCTGCCAACTAGCCAATGAGCCATTGATTACTACCCTCTGGGCCCAATACTCCAGCCAGTTTTCTATCCACCTTACAGTCCATTCACCCAGCCCATACTTAGCTTGCCTGAGAGAATGCTGTGGAAGACTGTATCAAAAGCCTTGCTAAAATCAAGGTACCTCACATCTACTGGTCTCCCTGCATCTATAGAGCCAAAGCCCTTACTCTGCTGCTTTCCATCCTTCCTTTCCTTAGAATTCTGAACTCAAATTATCTCATCTTCACTGCAGCCCAATTTACCATTCACTACTACATTCATCACCAATTCTTCACCCAGTTTGTGAGCAGCAGTTCAAGAAGAGCACAGCTCCTACTTGGCTGCTCCAGTGCTTGCATCAGGAAGTTGTTCCCAACACTTCAGATTCTATGTCCACTGAATGGGTTGGAATCATAAGGCAGTGTTTTACCAAAGTTGTAGAGATGTAGAAACTGATCAGAAACAGACACCCAAAAAACAGTCAGTTAAAGGCATCTGGCACTCTTTGAGAAAGTTAATGTAAGCAGCATGTTCCCTGTCATGCTCTTTCTGCTATCTAGTGGCTGATTTCAGTAGCTGAAGGTCAAAATTCAGACAAGCCTCCTGACTCAGGTCAAAAATGCAAACAGGACTGAAGCAAGCAGCAGCAGATTGTTTAAAATGATAGTTACTCATTGTACTTGTAGTACTGATTTAACGCCACAGCTATTTTCTGAAACAGTTCTTGTCTCCACAGGTTTTCACACTGACAAGTTTGACATGTCTACAACCCAACGTATCAAATCCATCAGCTTGTGTGCTTAGTGGATAAAAGCCTGCTGAATTTCAAATCACATTAGAAGCTCCATTAACCAGATTGTACTGTCAGCCACAAACTTAACTTGACCTTAAATGCTGCCCTTTCTTAAGGGATGGCATAACTTAAGTATGCACTGCGTGCTAGGTGTGATTTCAAGCTTCTCACACAAATTGCTGGTAGTACTTCATATTCTTTGCATGGTAAATGAACCGCATTAAACCACAAATTCCACCTTGTCAGCACTTGCTCTGGTGGAAGTGACACAGTCATATGTAGGCCCTTGCTTTGATTGGCGACAGACTCTCTGTGTTGAAGCTTACAGTCTGTACACTGTTTGAACGCTTTTTTTTTTTTTTTTTTGTTTTT